CACCCCCCCCCATCCCACCCACCCAGCTACAGCTCCAGCACCCCCCCCCCCCCCCAATCTACAGACTCCACCCCCCCCCATGGCTACAAACTCCCACCCCCACAAATGCCTACCAGACTCAGAACCTCCCCTCCACAACCCCAACCCATGATACAGACTCCACCCCCTCAATGCTACAGACTCCAGAACACCCCCAAACCATGCTACAGATCACCACCAATGCTACAAGCCTCCAGCACCCCCCCCCAACCATGCTACAGTCTCCAGACACCCCCCCCAACCCATGCTACAGACTCCACCCACTCATGCTACAGGCCCCCTCCAGCACCCCCCCCCCCCCCCCAATGCTACAGCATCGGTAACAGCCACCGCCCCCCCCCCCCACTGCTACAGACTCCAGCACCCCCCCCCCCCCCCCCAATGCTACAGGCCTCCAGCACCCCCCCCCAATGCTACAGACCCCAGCACCCCCCCCCAATGCTACAGACTCCAGCACCCCCCGCCCCAACCCATGCTACAGACTCACACCCCTCAATGGCTACAGCCTCCAGCCCCCCCCCCCCACAAACCCATGCTACAAGCCTCCAGCACCCCCCCCCCCCCATGCTACAGACTCCAGCACCCCCCCCCCAACCCATGCTACAAGACTCCACCCCCTCAATGCCTACAGACTCCACCCCCCCCCCCCCCCATGCTTACCAAGACTCCACCCCCCCCCTATGCTACAGACTCCACCCCCCCCCGTGCTACAGACTCCACCCCCCCCCCCCCCATGCTACAGACTCCAACCCCCCCCCCCATGCTACAGACTCCAGCACCCCCCCCCCCATGCTACAGACTCCAGCCCCCCCATGCTACAGACTCCACCCCCCCCCCCCCCCATGCTACAGACTCCACCCCCCCCATGCTACAGACTCCACCCCCCCAATGCTACAGACTCCACCCCCCCCCCCCATGCTACAGACTCCACCCCCCCCATGCTACAGACTCCACCCCCCCCCCCATGCTACAGACTCCAGCACCCCCCCCCCATGCTACAGACTCCACCCCCCCATGCTACAGACTCCACCCCCCCCATGCTACAGACTCCACCCCCCCCCATGCTACAGACTCCACCCCCCCCCCAATGCTACAGACTCCACCCCCCCCCCCCATGCTACAGACTCCAGCACCCCCCCCCATGCTACAGACTCCACCCTCCCCCATGCTACAGACTCCACCCCCCCCCCCCCCCAATGCTACAGACTCCAACACCCCCCCCCCCATGCTACAGACTCCAGCCCCCCCATGCTACAGACTCCACCCCCCCCATGCTACAGACTCCACCCCCCCCCATGCTACACACTCCTCCCCCCCATGCTACAGACTCCACCCCCCCCATGCTACAGACTCCACCCCCCCCATGCTACAGACTCCACCCCCCCAACCCATGCTACAGACTCCAGCACCCCCCACCCCCAACCCATGCTACAGACTCCAGCCCCCCCCATGCTACAGACTCCACCCCCCCCCATGCTACAGACTCCACCTCCCCCCCCCCATGCTACAGACTCCACCCCCCCCCCATGCTACAGACTCCACCCCCCCCCCCCATGCTACAGACTCACCCCCCCCCCATGCTACAGACTCCACCCCCCCCCCCATGCTACAGACTCCAGCACCCCCCCCCCATGCTACAGACTCTAACACCCCCCCCCCCATGCTACAGACTCCACCCCCCATGCTACAGACTCCACCCCCCCCCCCCATGCTACAGACTCACCCCCCCCCCATGCTACAGACTCCACCCCCCCCCCCCCCATGCTACAGACTCACCCCCCCCCCCATGCTACAGACTCCACCCCCCCCCCATGCTACAGACTCCACCCCCCCAATGCTACAGACTCCACCCCCCCCCCATGCTACAGACTCCACCCCCCCAATGCTACCGCACGGGAGACGGCGGCAGCGGCAGCAGCGACCCGTGGCCAGATAGCGACAAGCCGTGCGGACAGCAGCCAGCCCAGCCAGCCCACGAGCTCACTGGCTCACCAACCCAGCCAGCCAGCCCAGCCAGCCCAGCTCACCGGTCAGCTAACCCACGAGCTCACTAGCTCACCAACCCAGCCAGCCAGCCCAGCCAGCCAGCTGACTATACTAGCAGCCAGCTGACTATACTAGCAGCCAGTCGGCTCACATCCAGACTACAAACAACACTGAACCGGCCAGTACAGCAGCAGCCAGAGAGGCGGCCTCAACTATCCGGGCATCCAGCGAGCCGCAGCAACACACACTTGTTGTAACAAGCATGTCGGCGGAGGACGACGGCTTCTCGTTCGCGCGCAAGTTCGGAAACATCTACCTGAGCATCCTGGCGCTCTTCTGCTTCAAGCTGTGCGTGAAGCTGAGCCTGGCGCTGCTCAGCCACTTCTACATCGTGCGGGGGAACCGCAAGGAGGCGGCGCGCATCGCCAGCGAGTTCTACGGCATCGCGGAGCACAGCGGTATGGCCCCGTGCGCTCTCTCACTCGGCGCCGCGCGTTGTCGAGTGCGCAGGCGGTGCAACTGCGCCAGGGCCCCCAGGGGCCAGCGTGGCCCAAGCGTCGGGCTACGAAGAGGTGGGAATTGGCCGAGAGGGGGCTGAGTGCGAATGGACAGAAGGGAGTCAATTTGATAACCTCCCACCATCGTCTCATCTCCCATCTCCCTCCCCCCCGTGCACCATCGTCTCATCTCCGTTGGAGCGGCGCGCGTCTCAGACGCTGCTGCTTGGGGGGGGGGGGGTCCCGGAGCTTGCGTCGGAGCCTCCTGGGGGGCACGGCCGCTCTGCCGCTTTGCTGTTTGCTTGAGAAGGCGACGAGAAGTCGCGTGGCGGCCGTCGCTTCAGCGAGCCCGGCGACGTGACCAAGACCCCAAGAGCCGCTCCTCCTCCTCCTCCTCCTGCTCCTCTCGTTGAGCCTTCGTCAACGAGAGGAGCCCCCGGGCGCTCCAAGGAGGACGCCGCCTTGCGGAGCGGAGCCAGCGGCGGGGTGCAATTTAGGGCTGAACGATTAATCGATTTCAAATCGAAATTTGCAATTTGCAATAATGCGATTAGCAAATCGCAAAGGCTGAAATTTTTAGCGATTTGAAAATTCCTATTACTTATTGAAATAAAAACATATTAGAAATTTATGTATTTAACTTAACAATTGTTCTATGTTTGTTCTATTTCAGTTTAATAAATGCATGTTGGAAGCAATTCATATATTTTAAGTTCTCATCCTTTCACTACAATATATAGAGAAGTTCATATGCTGATGATATCATGTGGTAATGCTCCATCACATGTATTAAATCTATTACACAGTGAATATTTAACTGAAGCTTGACTTAAAAATTTTAATCGCAAATCAAATCACAATATCCGTCAGAAAAATCGCAATTAGATCTTTTCCCCAAATCGTTCAGCCCTAGACTGTGGATTTGTGTCGGGGAGTCGGATAGCGATGGAGGGAGCGGGGCCACGATCGCGGTGGGGGGGGGGAGTCGTCGAGATCCTTGGGGGTGGATAGATCATTGGGGTGGAGATAGATCCCTGGGGGTGGAGATAGATCCCTGGGGGTGGATAGACTCCTGGGGGTGGAGATAGATCCCTGGGGGTGGATAGACTCCTGGGGGTGGAGGGTCGGCGGTCGGGAGCGTTCGTTCGGCGCTTCTGCAGAGCCCCCTGGCTGGCGAGTCTGGCCGTGCGGATTGACCCGCGAGTGCGACCCGGCAGTGGACGAACGCGCCACCGGAGGGGGTGGACGTGTGGACGATGTTGCGGTCGGGGTGATGCGGGCTCGCTCCACACTGCGAGGCCGTGCGCGCGCGTCTCTCTCACGTCGTGGAGAGCGCTGGCGGCCCAAGTGGTTCTCACTTGCGGTCAACACCGGTGGAGGATACATGAATCGGTACAGGGTCTACCCGAGGTCGACTCAGCCTTACATGAGTAATACTTCCCGGTGCGCTGTGTAAAGCACCAAGCGCTTGGGCCTGGGGGCGGCCACGCGTGTTGCTACCCACCCCGCCGTTCTTCATAGGGGCTCGCTAAAAGCACTTTCCCCAACAGTCTGAAAAGTCTACACGGGGTGAATTTTGTCTTAAGTCTCTCGCAGCGGCTGTAGACGCCACCTATCCCACCATTCGTGCTACTATAACGATGCATAACAGTGGCTTCCACATGACGAGGCTGGCTCCTGCCAGATGAATGTGAAATGTGGCCGGTTCCCACAAGTCATCGGAATTTGTAAGCGATCAGAGAGCCCAACAAGTGGCACCAGGACGTGGGACGGTCTCAATAACTGGATGCATGACTAACACCGATGGTTCTGGTAGACTAAATTGGGACGCTATTTTAAATGTTGGCGGTATTTCTCGGGTGAGTGAACGTGTGTGGTTATCTCGCTTAAGGTTTGGTACTCAACCGTGACACAGCAATAGCAGCCAGTCGCCGCTGTTCTCACTTGAGCTTATACCACGTGGCTTTGCTGCCGCTTAATTTAGCGACTTCAGAGATGATAGGAGGAAACGTGACCGAGATATACGATTGTTTTTCCATTCCCCCCATACCTGATCTATATCACCTGGCCGTATTAGTGGCAGCGTCGTTTCTTTGAGACGTGGTTTAGCACGTGTGTCGATACTGTGGACGTAAAGTGGTCGGCTCATCCAATGATCTTCCCGCGGTAAATGAAGTATGTGCCACATTGTGAACATCCAAATCGTGATCGCGCAGTGTGTAGCCTGGCCACCACTCATAGGAATGTGGTGTGGAAATTCCACCACTGATTTAGGACGGACACCGGAGATCAGCGCTGCCCACCGTTCGCGTGCGCAATGGACACACTGACGAATGTTCCTACACGTGAGGGTGTGGGTAAATCTGACACCGATTTGGACTAACTCACATCTCTGCCACTTGGTAAGCCCGTCTGTATCTCACGCACAGGAGGTAGTTGTGTAGCTACGGGGTCTTAGCCATCTCATGATGACGCTTGCGAGTGTAAGTTGGCATACGTCTATACGACTCTCATGGACATGTAATCGTACAGCTCCCTTTTTTGTCAGCCCACTCACTGCTGGATGAAGGATCTCCTGACGCCGTGCGGTTCGTGGGGGTTATTTGGCCATACTTCACCACGCGGATCGCAGTGCACTAACCAGAACATACACTCGATGGCGAGGATGGAGCCGCGCATGGCTTTGTGCAGAGTGTCTCGCGACACGCACGCGTGGCTCGTTGACAGTGGAGCAGCTGGCGAGTGCCAGTGTGTGTGTGCCCTGCTTTGTGTGTGTCCGTGTCTAAGGGGTGTTTATGTGCCACGTGTGTTGTGAGCTGGATCGTGGGGGCGTTCTTAATTTAGCGCTGTACTCTCTGAGCTAAACTTAGCTGCGAACGAGGGGGGTGGCAGCCTTGGGGGCGAGTGACCCCTTGCAGTATTATTAGAGGAAGAATCTCTTGCCAAGAATCGATTCCGGAATCAATCTCTTAAAACAAATCGGCGAATGCCAACGGCAGAGTTCGATTTGTCTCGAGGTGACGCCACTTCCTAAGCGATGGATATAGACGCGACGGAGCTCATTTTAGAGCAGACGCTTTGGCGGCTCTTGCGCAATGCCTCTGCGTAGAACAGGGTGGGGGGACCACGTGCCGCGTTTACGCTTCGAAGGCTTCGCCATCACGTGATGTAGCCACATTTTTACGACGTCTTCGGAGGCAAGCTGACCTTTCAAAGTTATCGATATATTTTTGTTGCTGTGGGAATGTGTCCCAACAGCAGTGGTACAATATATGTATGTATACACCGTGGATTAACGCTTTTAGACGAGTAAACGAGTCTGGTCAGCAGTGGAAGGTGTCCTGATTCGGTCACATGAGGGGATGAACTAATTTGAGGACACAGCAAGGAATGTCACAATGTTAGCAACGATATTGGAAGGCAGTATTCACATCGTATGTTGAAAGTGTGTAACATGAAAGTCGCGTAACTTAAGTCCGAAGAGAATGTTCACTCCGAAGCGTGATAAGGCTTAATACAAATCACATGGAACGAGATGCAGGAGTGAGATGGAGTGAGACGCAGGGGTGAGATGGAGTGAGACGCAGCAGCGAGACGCAGGGGTGAGATGGAGTGAGACGCAGCAGCGAGACGCAGGGGTGAGATGGAGTGAGACGCAGCAGCGAGGCGCAGGGGTGAGATGGAGTGAGACGCAGCAGCGAGACGCAGGGGTGAGATGGAGTGAGACGCAGCAGCGAGACGCAGGGGTGAGATGGAGTGAGACGCAGCAGCGAGACGCAGGGGTGAGATGGAGTGAGACGCAGCAGCGAGACGCAGGGGTGAGATGGAGTGAGACGCAGCAGCGAGACGCAGGGGTGAGATGGAGTGAGACGCAGCAGCGAGACGCAGGGGTGAGATGGAGTGAGACGCAGCAGCGAGACGCAGGGGTGAGATGGAGTGAGACGCAGCAGCGAGACGCAGGGGTGAGATGGAGTGAGACGCAGCAGCGAGACGCAGGGGTGAGATGGAGTGAGACGCAGCAGCGAGACGCAGGGGTGAGATGGAGTGAGAGGCAGAAGCGAGACGGAGGAGTGAGACACAGGAGTGAGACGCAGCAGCGAGACGGAGGAGTTAGATGGAGTGTGAGACGCAGGAGTGAGGTGGGGAAACGAGATGGTGAAGGAGCGAGATGGTGGAGGAGCGAGATGGTGGAGGAGCGAGATGGTGGAGGAGCGAGATGTGGAGGAGCGAGATGGTGGCGGAGCGAGATGGTGGAGGAGCGAGATGGTGGAGGAGCGAGATGATGGGGTGAGTGGTAGAGGAGTGAGATGGTGGAGGAGTGAGATGGTGGAGGAGCAAGATGGTGGAGGAGCGAGATGGTGGAGGAGCGAGATGGTGGAGGAGTGAGATGGTGGAGAAGCGAGACGGTGAAGAAGCGAGACGGTGGAGGAGCGAGATGGTGGAGGAGCGAGATGGTGGAGGAGCGAGATGGTGGAGGAGCGAGTGGTGGAGGAGCGAGACGGTGGAGGACAGAGATGGTGGAGGAGCGAGATGATGGAGGAGCGAGATGGTGGAGGAGTGAGATGGTGGAGGAGCGAGTGGTGGAGGAGCGAGATGGTGGAGGATTGAGATGGTGGAGGAGTGAGATGGTGGAGGAGCGAGATGGCGAAGGAGCGAGATGGCGAAGGAGCGAGATGGCGGAGGAGTGAGATGGCGGAGGAGCGAGATGGTGTCGATGGTGGAGGAGTGAGATGGTGGAGGAGCGAGATGGTGGAGGATTGAGATGGTGGAGGAGCGAGATGGTGGAGGAGTGAGATGGTGGAGAAGTGAGATGGTGGAGGAGCGAGACGGTGAAGAAGCGAGACGGTGGAGGAGCGAGATGGTGGAGGAGAGAGATGGTGGAGGAGCGAGATGGTGGAGGAGCGAGATGGTGGAGGAGTGAGATGGTGGAGGAGCGAGATGGTGGAGGAGCGAGATGGTGGAGGAGCGAGATGGTGGAGGAGCAAGATGATGGAGGAGCGAGATGGTGGAGGAGTGAGATGGTGGAGGAGCGAGATGGTGGAGGAGCGAGATGGAGGAGCGAGATGGTGGAGGAGCGAAATGATGGAGGAGAGAGCTGGTGGAGGAGTGAGATGGAGGAGTGAGATGGTGGAGGAGCGAGATGGTGGAGGAGCGAGATGGTGGAGGAGCGAGATGGTGGAGCGAGATTGTGAAGGAGCGAGATGGTGGAGTGAGATGGTGGAGTGAGATGGTGGAGTGAGATGGTGGAGCGAGATGGTGGAGGAGTGAGATGGTGGAGTGAGATGGTGGAGTGAGATGGTGGAGCGAGATGGTGGAGGAGTGAGATGGTGGAGTGAGATGGTGGAGTGAGATGGTGGAGTGAGATGGTGGAGTGAGATGGTGGAGTGAGATGGTGGAGGAGTGAGTGGTGGAGGAGTGAGATGGTGGAGGAGTGAGTGGTGGAGGAGTGAGATGGTGGAGGAGCGGTGAGCATCCATCTGCCGCACCCTCCTCCTCTCCTCGGGATATATTTGGAGCTCGATCACAAACCTCTGACACTTTGGAATCGATGCTGGGCAGAATCGTCCGAGATAATCGGCGGCGCGAAATCGATTCCCGGCGTGAGCCTCGCGCACGTGCGTCCATCGCGACGTCGATAACGACGACGTCGTCGAGTGATTGAGGAGTTGTATGGAGGCACGGTGAGATGGAAGAGTGGGACCTGTCACGTAAGCGCCGCGAGGCGGAGGAGGAGGCGGCGGCGGTGCCACCCAAGCGGCGGCGCGACGCGGGGTGGGCGGTGCTCACGTGCCAAGGTGCGCGCGCGTGCGCGTGTCGTGCGCGTGAATTCAGGAGCGGTGGCGCGGCGGTGAGCGCGCAGACGCCACGAACCCCGGCCAGAGTTCGGTCAACACCGGTCGTGGGTCGTCCCCCCTAGGTAGACTCGGCCTCAATGAGGGAGACAAAGGCGGCCGGGCGTGGTGCTGGCTACCCACCTCGTGTGCTGTGTTGGCCTTCATCGATGCCCGCAAACAACACTTGCCCCGACAGTCTGTTCAAGGCCATACGGAGGAGGGGGGGGGGGGTATTTATCCTTTGTACGCGTGCGGCTTGTGTGTGTGGCTAATATCGACTTTATACCTTGCAAAATGTATCTATTGGGTGTTTGAACATCTTAACAGCTGTTTTATTGCCAGAAAGGGTCAAATCCTATTCTTATGTTGCATTATTTCATACAGGAAAAAGGTCTCATTAATTGTGAGTATTGTACCTTGAAATGTTTTTATTTATTAATACTGTCACTGTGAGACTGTCTTCCTCTAAATCAAATACAAGGTGCAACTAAAATAATTTATAGAGAGTTATAACCTACATTTTATTGCATACCGGTTAACAACATCCAGTAGCTGTCTCAGTAAAAGAGAAAGGAGTCTGGAGAAAGGAGGGGGGCCGACAGTCGGATCTTGCATATCCCCCAGTTGAAATTGGGAGTTACGCCCCTGCACTCACATTATTTAATATCATTTACATTGCCATGTAACTTTATACATTCCCATGCAAATATTTTCTGCATTGAAGGTCTCATTATCGACCACATGGCAATGCACTGACCGTCCAATGGACACTGGTTGTCTGCAGATTATGTTTGCCAAAGTGCAGTCATTCCAGCCGGGTGGTGTCCGTCACAAGAGTGCTCGACTCACAATCAAGAGGTTACGAGTTGGAATCCCAGTCTGGTGTCAACTCATTTTATCCTTCATCCAAAAATAACAAAATTGAGTATCGCTTTGCAGCAAGTGATCAGTGGTTGTAATGTGGATGGGATGATCCCTGCCATATGAATGTGGAATTTCAGTACCACCGCACCCTCATTTGAGCATGGGAATACTTTGACTCGTTCAAATTATTTGCACAGACAGCTGCACATTTTATGGACATGCACGTGTCTCAGTTGATCTGACAAACTGCAGTGAGGAAGCATGAGGACTTGAGTTTGAAAAGCCCTTGTCTTCAACCTGAGATGCTTCTGGACAAACCAGACATTGCTGGTGAGTAGGATATCCTTGATGAATTTGACAAAGCTGCTTGTGTAATGTCTGAAATGTAGGCTAATCTAAGCAGGCATCAGCTCCAAGCCCGTGACAATAAGTGTGAGTGAGCACCAGCTGTCTGCTCCAGAATGGGGCTGGCATCATGTTGTTCAAGTTGGCTGGGGGCATGTGGGTGGGTGTGTGGGGTTGTGCTTCAGTCTTTGCCCTTTATTCCTGGACGCGCACATCACTATTGTCAATTGATATCTGAACCTGTGTCTCCCATACGGATGACTCAACCTAAAATTAGTGTCTGGTGTGTAACCTTGAGCGGTGAGGACGCAGCGTCATGCTGGGGGTATTTATTTACTTACGTGTTTATTAAAGGTTTTCTGGTGAGTACAATGCACAAACATGATGCTAAATAATGGCGCAATAATATAATCAGTGGGTAGCAAAAGTTGAAGTAGAGTAATCAGACCTGTAATGCGCTGTTCCTTCTTTAATTCTTTACATTTCTGTTGTATGTTATTTTGCACCGTACATAGCCAATCATGCTTATCAGACGTGCGCAGTCAGCGTCCTCTCCTGTTCTTCCAACATAGCCATCCCAAATAGTATTTTCCTGGCCGTATCTCGGCTTCTTCGGGGTTTAAAATCCCATGCAAATGGAACCACCCTGACAATATCTTAAGTCAAGATCTCCTGGACAAATTATCACACAAGATTTACACAATTGAGGGTTTGAAACGATAGTTGGCATGTGGATAATAACCAAGAAAACCTCGTATATTTGTACAAATCCAACTATACTGGACCCACAATGATTTTTCAGGCAGGAGTAGGCTTTTAAAGCATTTAAATATCAAAAGAACACTCAGCTAGTCATATGTCAGCGAATGTTTTTTCAAAAATTATATTTGTCAAGGTTATAAAATACATACATTGGTAATGCTGTAAACTTTTTTTTAATCAGTTACAGCCTGGAAGCCACTACCGATGTACAGTATATGCAAATTCGTTCTAAATAAACCTCCACCTGCTTGCAAAGATAACCCCATCGTCCTACTCTGAGAATAATGTGAATAGATGAGGTGGGTCTGTATGTAATACCTCCACAGTGTCGTACAGCAATAGTTTGTGGTGGCCCAGTGATGCACTCACTGCTCAATGAACCCAGCAACCCGAGTTAGATTTACAGCCACGACTAACATTAGTAGCAAGCCATATCTGAACCAGTCCTGGGCCCATCCCATCACCAACCCACACTGGCCCACATGGTGAATTATGGTCCAGAGACCACAATGACCGACGTGGCATGGGGGAGGCCTTCCTCCAGCTGTGGAATTACAAAGGGGCCGTATTTTATATATCTTTGCGTGCGTGTTCTTGCGTGCACGTTGTTGTGTATGCGTGCGTTAGGATCGTGGGCCGACCGGAGCCTGCAGCATGAAGCTGCGAGCCAGGGACGTCTTCTCTCACTCAAAACGTACATCGCACAGGTGAGTAAGCATGCAGGTCCGCAAATAAATACACGAGCAAAAACATAAAGAAACAACTAAAACTACGCATGAAAGCATACGACCTGCACGATTGTGAATTTCAAAAGCCAATCACGGATAGTTTTAGACGCTGGTCTTATAAGGTGAAATGTATATATTTCATCTGAAGTTGACGTTCTCGGTCACTTGACACAATCATTATTCGCTGGCAAGGACTGCAGGGCGCCAGGATTGTAGCACAATGCGCCGACCACGAAACCACCACTGCTGGCATTACACTACCATCCCGCTCTAGATGCACGCACACGTTTATACGCGTGCATGTGCACACACCTACTGCGGTAATAATGTGATATTCTTATGGTACGTTTCACATTGACGTGTCATTGGCAGGGCTGCAATGTGAATGCGTTGACGATAGACCAGGTGACCCCACTGCACGAGGCGTGTCTTGGGGGGCATGTGTCCTGTGCTCGAGCCCTCATCCAAGCGGGGGCCATGGTATTACACCCACGCGCACACACACACGGCACGCGCACATACGCAGGCACCCATGCACACACACGGCACCCACACACACACACACGCGGCATGCACAAACACGACACACACACACGGCACCCATGCACACGGCACCTATGCACGCACACGGCACGCGCACACAGATGGCACCCACACACACACACGACCCCTATGCACGCACACGGCACGCGCACACACACGGCCACCTGACACCGCTTTTGGCGGGAAAATCATAGACATGATGTAATATAAGTGACATTCCCTCTGACATCATACTTTAGAATCAACTATTTTTTCCCCACGTCATTCGAATCTTCATATCTAGGTAGGATTTTCAGATTTAATTTTGCATGGATATGAAATTTGGGAATACATCCCTAAAATATGTCAAGCGTGATGCACAGGTACATAGTGTGCCAATACAATTTCTAGGTATGTCACAATTCATCGACTTATTCATTGCGAGATGTGCATTGATCATTGAGTTTAAATGGTGATTTACTTTCCATCATGTACATGTGAATGTACCTTTAGGCTAATATCACGGGAATGGCAGACAAAAGAGACAGACAATACAACTGAGACACATTGCAAACGAGATTCCCACTTCGAAGGACAAAAATCTGAAAACGTATCAGAGAAGGTTTGAATATTTATGAGCGTCCACCTATGTGAGTACAGTAGAACTCCTCTTAACGACGGTAATTGTTTCCACGAAACGGTCGTTAATTGAGTATAGGAAATACATGTTAAAGGCTTAATTCGTTCCGATAGCATCGAAAGTTGCCTTTTTCACCCGAAAAACTTACTTTTTAATATTTAAACAATGGATATTAGTAACAACATTTTTAAACCTAGAATATTAAAAGAAACATGGTTAATAAATGCATTCATATTAGTGTACCTACAACATCCCGTCATTTACAGGGAATGGTCGGTAAGAGAAGACATTGTGCTCTATGGAGGCCCGTCGTTAAGCGATTAGTCGTTAACGGAGGTTTTCCTGTCCTGTTATTTGCATAACTGGGTGTGTGTGTGTGTGTGCATGCGTGACGGCCAGAGCTCGAATCCCACGGCCAACACCAGTGACGATTATTTGAACCGGTCCTGGCCTCTCCTCAGTCGACTCGGCCTCAAATTAATACCATGTACGGTGTATAAGCATCACAACTGGGGAGACAAAGGCGGCCGGGCGTGGAGTTGGCCACCCACCTCCTCGCGTGCCATTCCGGCCTTTATAGGTGCTACTCGTGAACAGAACTTGTCCCAAAAAGTCTGTTTCAGGCCATACTGGGGGATCTCTGTCTTTGTGGCTAGGTGAATGCTATGACGATAGACGGTGTGACCCCGCTGGTGAATGCGTGCGTGCGCGGGAGCCCTGCGTGCGTGAAGCTGCTCCTGGAGAGCGGCGCAACCCTCTACTGCGCCGCACACACCACCCCGCTGCACGAGGCGGCCACTCGTGGTGGGTACACACCGCTCCCCGCACGCTGCACCGTCCCGTCAACTTGAACTCTGCCCGTAGAACCATCCACTGGGCCCTGTTGATTTTAATGGTTCTCTTGGTTAAATCTGCAAAATACATTATTTCCTTCATCATCTTGATGCTGGTAACTGCTTAGCCCAAGCTATTCATGCTTTGATGTTTGCATTGTCTTCGTGCTGTTCGACTTTTGGCATTCTTTGGTCTAAAACTAGTGCGAAAAGGCCACGAAGGAGGCTGTCTCTGGCGTAGGCCATTTCGTTTCAAGGACAATGTATATGTGATCAAAGCATGTTGTTTGCATGTTTAACCACTCACGTGCTTTGTGAATGCAGACTAGATGCCTTGTGATGGTTGTCTGTTTGGTGTTGGAACATCTTAACGCCTCCTGTATTCTTTCCGGAAAGACTGATGCCTATTCTTTATTCATCATGTTGATGCTGGCAAAAGCAGCCTCCCATAGATACTTGATGGGCCTGTTGTCCCCAAAAGAGAAAATAACCAAAGCCTTAAAGCTCCTCATACTTCCTCTTTTAAATCCCCAGGTTTAATTCAGTGTGCGGAAACAGGGCAATATCGGTGGCTGCTGCCTCGTGGAATGCTATATCATCGCATTAGATTTGGGAATTCAGTCATTGCTGATCATGAGAAACCTCCATTCACTCCTGAAACTCAAGTTTATCAAATGATTGGCAGAGAGGCGTAAGCCGGGTCTGTATGTGATTGCTTTCTTACATTATATTTTTTCCCCTTTATTTTTGTTCCTAAAATAATGTAGCCCTGCTTTTTTGTGTACGTTTTCCACTGGTTCCCTATTCCTATATCATATGAAGTACGTACCGGTGCTTGCTCTTTTTATCTCGATCTATGTAGTCATGATTGTAACTAACATCTGTATCGTCGCAGGATGCCCTTGAAAAAGGCAAACACTCATTGGTCCCTTCCTGCTAAAATGAATAAAGTGAATCTAAACTGCACCCACGCCACCCCACACGCCGCACCGTCACATCGTTCTGCACACCACACCCGGCCACACCACGTGCACCATCACCACCCTGTGCCGCTCCATTCTACAGACCACACCCCGCATACCATGAAACCACACCATGATACATCGCATACACCGTCACACCATACTACACACAACATTTTGCCTACCATGAATCCACAACATGTTACGTACCTCACTCCGCACACCATGAAACCGCACCCGAATACATCAGTCACACCACCCCACCCTTGCACACAAAATCACACCATCCCACATCACGCAACGCAGACTTCCATTGGTGGCAAGCACAACCCACACACCGCATGGCAGGAGTTTCACAGCTATTAAGAAAATTAGTTCTTCATTATGTCTGTGAATTTGTTACAGTCTCAACATTTCCCCACACCTATGATTAGCACGGTTGGCTAAGTAAGATGCAAAAGAAATTCCACATACATTTCATGAGTGACTTTTGATTTCAAGAAAATTCTCCATGGCAACAGACTATTGCTCATGCCACACCAGCTGTCATTTTTAGCTGCATGGTGGAGACACCACCAGAGTGCCAGTGCCCGACATACTGCCCCAAGGGGTGTCGTTGAGTGGCACAAACTTTCTGACAGGAGACGCAGGTGTTGTGGGTTTTCAGGGTAGGGTGTTTGGTGATCACATCGCACGTCTATTTCCCTCTTGCTGTGTTCTCGATGGGTCTTGCTTTGTTCTGCTTCTTGTTGTGTTGATCATTCTGTTGGCGGCCAGTGCCATCAGCTGCCCGGTCATCGCAAGCCTGCTCACCGCACTCTTTAACAGTCCTCCCACCGTCCCAAATTTAGATGCCATTTGCACTCACAAATATCTCTAATTTAGCCCAATAAAGTGCTAGAAACTGCTGTTAGTGGGCATCTAATGAGTCAACAGGGATGGTGTTGCCAACTGAGCTGTTGTCGATTGCCAATGCTCATACACAGCGCCAGATCCTCATCTTTTCTGAGTTGACCGAGCTAAGGCGAGATGAGATGTTGATAGCACGTGCCACTGACGTTGTACGTTGTCGCTAATAGACGAGCCACTATACCACCATTCCCCACTGCAATAGACCTCTCCAGTAACTCTACCCCCAATCCCCTCCTCTCATCCAGGTCACGTGGACGTGCTGGAGACGCTGCTCGAGTTTGGGGCAAACATCGATGCGGAGCTGCCCCACACAGGGACGGCGCTGTATGCGGCGAGCCTGCATGGCCGCGATGCCTGTGTGCGGGCTCTGTTACGTGCAGGTGCGGGTAAACGCACAATTCTCTCTGTAAGGATTCACTTTTATTTTGCTCCTGAATACCGAAGCATCTTAAAGCACCAAAGTATCCTGAGGGCAAAGCATCGCGGTTTGTTTCTGGCTCTGCTCGGCAAACTGCCAGCGGAAAACCACCCGTACCGGTGAGGTTCCCATTCTAGGCACGGCTCGGATGCGCCGATGGAAAATGGGCATCTCTTTGTCCGTGTGCAGGCGCGGACGTCAACAAGGGGTGTTTCCGCACCACTCCACTGCACGTGGCATCGCGCGCGATGCACGGCAGCACAATGGATGTGCACGGCAGGGTGCGCGCCGTGCTGGGCCTGCACGGCCTGCTGGGCGTGCACGACGAGGGGGGCGACAACGGCGCGCACGGCGGCGTGTGCTGCACCGCGCACGGCCTGCGCCTGGTCGGGCTGCTCCTCGAGTTCGGAGCCGACGTCAACGTTAGGGACGCGGACGGCAAGCGAGCGGTGGATTACGCGCACCATGCACACCCCGAGTGCACGCTGCAACAGTTGCTGCAGTCGCACGAAGGTGCGTTGCTGCAGTACGCGCCGCCATCTGCACGTTGAATACGCCATCTGGATGTGTATTCTGAGATGCGTTATCATAATGAGAATAATTTGCAGCCCATTGCCAATGCACTGCTGTACCATGCTGTGTCGACAGCCTGCCGGGGATATAATGATGAATCACAAAGTGCCTTTTGACATCATATTACGTCAACTAATTATAAACAGTAATTTAGGTAGAAGAGAGGTAATGCTCCTCAAACTGCATGGTGTCGGACGGATTCGGATGACATGAATATTTAATCCATGCTGGGATGATGGTGTATGCGTCAAACCACTTATTCTATAAGCCATATTTTTTTTACATAGATAATTACCATCAATATGTACCATTAGCATGATTTTAACATTTTTACCAAGGTTGTTTAATTTGTGGAACCAACAATTGCGGAGGCATAGACAGCATATATGCCAGATGAGCTTATATGCTGTGAGAAATAAATAAGCAAGGTCTTCTCCATATAGGCATTCTGGAAGTGCCTAATTTCAGTGGCATAAATTTGGTACAAGCAGACTTTGGACCAGTTTCAACATAAGTGTCTCATCAGCAACCAGGCTTTCTTGAATGGATGCTGGTGAAGTGCCAAGTGTTTATAGGTAAGCACCCTCAAAGGTAAGGAAGGAGGCATCTATACAATGAGTCACACGTCCTGGCTATTTTGATGTGCAGTCTAAAGAACACTCGTTACCTACACATGTTTTTTTAAATCGTTGTCTCTTTCCATGTGTCTGTGTGCAGACCCGCAGTCTCTCACGCAGATATGCAGACTGGCGATACGAAAGAAGCTTGGTCGAGCGCGACTGCACATGATATCTTGTCTACCCCTGCCCAGAATCATCACCAACTACCTGCAGTACTGCTAGGCTTGTACGAACACTTGCGCGCGTTTGTACTTGCTGTCGCACTAGAAACATAAAAGTGTCTGCTTTAAAACGAGGCTGAATGTCACAAGCATGCACTTAACTCTCACCCGCTCATTTGCTTGTGCCAATTTGGTGGTGTTGCGTCGCGTCTTGAAAGTGAATGTGTGCATATGCCGAATCCACTGAGCGGATTGTGGCTGTCAGGTAGGGGAAGTTGCCAACACTGTTGACGTGCACAACATTACATGTGCAAGCTGTTAATTGTAATGTGGAGGCAATGTATAATATGAACCCGTCAGCATCTAACAAGTTACATGGATTTCATGGAATGGAAAACCTGAGGGAGAGTTTTTACCTCTTCAGGCAAAATCCCCAAAGGTTTACGGATGTAGACTGCACCTTGATCATGGAAAAGTCACTTCCCAAAGCTCACGCACTACACTAATTAGCAACTCGTTTTATTAACACGTAGGGTTTTGCAGACAGTGTTATGATTCATATATTTTTGTTGTGCAGGCTACAATGATCTGGTGAAATTGTTAAGACCCTCCACCCAACTAACAGCCAAATTAATTGTCACGTGTACAAGAATTTGCCGCATAAATGGTTATTGTTTCAGCTCACTGATAAGTTAAAGAACAATCCTCACAACCAAATAGCAATTAGATATGTTTCATTTGAAATCCACCAATCAGATCAAGATCACGGAAGAGTGAACAACAATCAAGTAAGTCGTTTTGACTTGCCGATTCTGACTTCCTGGATTGCGGTGTGAAATGAAGTCCCGTATCCGATTGATAAACCTGTTTGCGAGGATTGTTCTTTCAACTTGCCGCGAGCTGAAACAATAAATGGCGCGTTAAACACTGGTACACGCGACACATTTTCTGGCGGCGTCGGATGGTGGAGGATCTCAACGACAGATTTTAGTCGTATCATTACGTGGCCTAACCCAAAAGAAATTATGAATCCGGTTTTCATTTTTGTACCTTTTCCAGCCATGTACAGAAATATGGACTTTGTTGCTGTTATTGAATTGTGTTTAAATTTGTATAATAAATATACCTATATGTATAATTGACACGATTGTGAAGTCATTGCAACCAACTGTCGGAATGATGTGCAGCAGCGGTGCCTCATAGCTCCAAAACTAAACATTCGCTTGTCCTGTTTCTGGGGGCACCTCAATGTGTAGGACAGCTGGAATATGGAGTGGTGAAGGTGCAGCCCTGAAATTGCTGGCGAATGCCACTGCTGGCTGAAGGATTGACACGAGAGCAAGCTCTCGAGAGCTCCTCTGGAACAGAGTTCGGACTACTCTTTGCACGTGGTTTAGAAAGTGATGGGAGTAGCCGCACTTTACCGTAGCACACGCAACCTACTGACCGGCTATTGGTGTGTCCATTTTTACTGCTGGGTGGACAGCGGCGGTGGGATTTAAGAAAAGCCGATCGATTCAACTGCTGCACTGGGTGAAATAATGATCGAACCAGCAGCCTGTTCAGTGGGCTTGACATTACACCACGGCAACATCCCATGTAGTTGTAATTAAGTAATGTTATACCCTTTCTTTGCAGAGTTTGTAGAACTGGCCTTTTAATACAATTTACTTTGCCAAAAGTCCATATGTATTGTGTTGTAAAATGGAGACTGCAATACACACGTACTCTATAGTCTATATGGTGGTCTCGAGTAGCTATCATGAGCTCCTGGTCTGCCATCTTCTCAGTCTTATACACCATAGAATGGGTGGCAAACACCTACCCAACAATCTTGTCATATTGGTATGCAACCGATACACCGTGCTAGAAAATGGGTTAGTCCTCTCCCTACAATGTCCCACTTGCAGGCAGGTTCTACTCATATAATCCAGTGTATTGCCACACTAGGGTGACATTACACAATTCCGCAGGCTACACAGACCCCGTGAGAATCTCGTGGGCATGGATACGAGTGAATAAAACAAACGGCAACGGACAAGAACGTAAATGATGGCACATGAAGCGATCCTTGTGTGCCATCTCAACACTGCTTGTTCTTCTCTGGCATGTTCTCTCCTTTGGCTGTCATGCCATCATCATTATCGTCTATCAGCCAAAATAATGCAGCTTCAGCAAAACCATTGTAAGGAACTTCCAGTGGATTGGTACAAGTTGGTTTTGAGGGCTGTTTTCTGACTTTGGGTAACACAATTTAAACAGAGCATGACTATGGAATGGCGAGCTAAGATTAGCTCCAGTTCAAATATCTTTAGAAGGCTCCCAACTTGGGCAGTCGACAATGGTGTGCCAGATTGTCTGGTCGTGGATAATAAATATGTAACATCCCAGGTTACTTAACATCGAACTTAAATTGCTTTGTTATACGTAAATGAATTTGTACTTATTAATTTAAGTTGCATACATACATTTTCCAACAGAGCCACTAAAAAATAAATATCTATGACGAATGTAAATACTTTCAAGGGGAATTCATTTACCAGGAAAATGAAATTACCCGTAGCAGAGCCAAGCCTTGTGGTGGCGCACAAATGACAGGTGAGATGACACGGCTTGGGGTCCTTCACGGAGGGGCTGCGGGCAGCATGTTGGTGCCTGATCAGGTATGTGCAATGTGTTCCCCAGATTCAACGATCTTATTTCAGCCGATAAAGCCGACTGAGCTAGTGGCTCTTTTTCAGAGGCAACCAGGCCACACATGACAGCCCGTGGAAATAGCTTTTTATGTGGGAATTGATACCAAATAATCTAAACGCATGTTTCCAAATCTGGAGAGCAAAACCAGATGACCCGGAATAACAACCGCACGACCACGGCGAGAACGTGAGAACATTCACGATCTTCAGGGTCAGAATCGAACCCACAACCTACTGCATACCAAGTGAGGGAGATAACATTTCGCCACCGTGATAGCAACCTTCCTTACATACCCTGTGACCAATCTCTCACTCATTGACTCAATACATTTAATACTGAGACTAAGTGTAATATGGTGTGCTTGTTTATTATGCAACACATCAAAATTACACTTTAAATCATAAAAAACACCAATTTTTCAATTGTTTCCTTTATGTACAACTGGATAACAGACTTCTGTACAGGTGGAAAGAGTGGATAACTTTGTATAGTTAGCACATTTTGGATTCAGGGCATAACAGCATGGGTCTACCGACTCAGCAAATATTTTTCTTTCATACGGCTGATGAAGATGCAGACCAACAACTACAATTTCACATTCAGGTGGTCAAGCCAGTCAACTGCGTCAGGAGTAGCGGAGTGTGTCATCACCGCTGTGATGTCTCCTTCTTATTTGTGGATCAGGCATTGCGTCATTATACGTTATACGGTCTGTTCTGGATGACCACGAGTTTTTTATTTTCCATTTGCATCAGCTATCTGCAACTGTCATGGTTTGCACAGTAGATGCAGTTTAGGGTGGACCATGAGCTTCGTGGGAGATGAAACTCAGGGATCTTCTGTGTTCGGTCTTCCACAAGGTGTTGTTTGTGGCTTATATTGAATAACATTCAACTCTTACAAATAATTCCATAAGAGCAAACATTACTGGTTTTGTAAAGTCACAATACCAGTGGCAATTGGCATACAAACTTGGCTTGGACTACCCTCCCTCCCCGATTAATAATATAATTTAGTTAAATTTTGACTTAAAACTTTCTTGACTGCAGGAATTCATTCTATGGTTCTTTCGGTTAAGTCACGTCGATAGAAAAAAATTATAACAATAAAATAATAAAAATAAAATGAATAAAAAAGAATATTCAGATGACGACCACTTGTGTTGCGATCGAAACGTCGTGATATTTGTATAATTTTTTAGTCACTTTATTTATTATTATTATTTCTATCTACGTGACTTTACCAAAAGAACCATAGAATATAATTTACAGTTCTTTGTCAATCCACTGCTAGATGAAGGCCTCCACATGCCATGTCAGTCATGGAAGCCGTTTTTATCATACTTCACCATGCTGGTCAGCACAGGTTGAAGGCAGGTCAGGATCGGTTCAGATATCACTCACAAATTATGCTAGTTGCGGCTGAGAATCAAATGCAGGTCGTTAGGTTCATAGCACAATGCACGAACCACTGCATCGCTGCTAGGATAACTCGGCCTAAGCTCATCTGAAAACGTATTTATACACTTACATTTATAAATCTTTGAGGTAATTCAGCAAATGGCTTTTAATATTTATTTTACAATTCATAAGTTACAATTTATCATGTGGGGTATCATCTGCTTTGTCTTGTACAGTGCTGAGATCTTTGATTCAAGGTGCTTTATAAATAAATAAAACCTAGTACCTGGTGCAGTGTGTTACCATGAGCACAGGGATCTGTGAGTGGTGCTAGTACAACAAACCCAATTCTTTAGCATTCTGGCCTGTGTATTTGCCATGAACAGCACCGTCTCTGCCAGCCTACGAAGCGAGATGTAGCCCGTCCATGCCCTTGCATTTGTGTGCGTGTGTGATCAAGACCACCAGAAGGACACAGAGAAGCTGTGGCTGAGTGAATTTACATAGTGCCAGTGCTTGCGAGGAATGAAGAGTGCATCTCCGGGGGACAGCACCACCTCCTGGAACGGGGCCTCGGTGAAGCGGGGAAACTGACACGTGTCGGGCCTAAGCACGTCCACCTGGGACACGACGACAGTAGGAGGGGGAGACAGATGATAGTAAACATTGACCATCACAACAGGCAATGTTCACAGTCTGTGGGTGATATAGCACAATTCCTCGCTGTAACAAGCTTCCACCGTCAACATCATCGACAGACAAAACAGTGTGATGTGCCAGTGTTTGGTGTTTGTACCTGACTGGTATTGTTCAGCAGGTGTGATGGATGAGGGTACAGCTTGTCAGTGTGTTCTGGAGAGTAGAGGCGCACATACTTCTGTCCAAATACCTTTATACCCACATTAATGAACACGCACACATACACACGGTCACGTAATTAAAAAGCTAAATGCACGTTACAGCCCTGATTCACGTGTTTACAAACGTCCTTTGTCGTTCCGTTTTGCAAAACGTATGCAAATATCTCTACTACCGATTTTTATGTTGACAATCGAATCAACCTGTTAATAATTTGTGCCAAATATGCATACACAGCAATGTAGTAGAAACAACACAAGGATGTACACATATTTTGTAAGGTCATAAAATAAGTCAGTGTCCCTGCTCCAGCAAGCAATGGAATGCTAGTTAACTATGTTGTCATATCATTGTGGGTAATAAACTCACAACGTATCTATTGTGAGACAAATGGCTTCTCGCTTCTACCAATAGGAGGCAGCAAAGTGACACTCGAAACAGAGAGCATTGCACTGTGTGGCTAACGCAGAAAGTTGACCGAGTTCTAAAGTTGTTCTGTTTTTCCAGTCGCTCTGTTCTGTTAAGCTACATCATCCAGCTCTGACCCGTGACTTCCTGTCAGTCAGCTAATGCAAACTCCAGAAGATCCAAATGTGACAGTGACTACGTCACTTAGTGGTGAATGAAGAATAGTGTTGTGCCAAGGTTGGCACTAGTGCCTTGAGGATGTCACACTACCATTTGTGGTGTAGATGGTTGTTATTATAGCAATTCAAAGTGCCTCTGGGTGAACACACACTTGTGTACCTGCACCAAAATGTTGTGCTGCGGGTCATGGTGTAAAGGGCTTTCCGTGCCGCCAGGGCCGAACCATGCATTGATCACGACCTCTTCGCTTCCCTCCTCTTCGTCATCTCCTCCTTCTCGTTCTGACACGCAGCAGTAGTCCGGAATAACAATATCATTTCTAAGATCTGGGATCTGCACAAGAAATATTAATGTAATCAGCACCACCATTACACCCTTGTAAACAAGCAGGTGTAACAACACAGCGCTCATAACATTTACTGGTACCACAACTGCGAACATCAGCTGTGCATTTGTATACATCTGGGTAAGTGTTTATAAGTTCGCCATGATTACAAAATGAATCACAAAAAATGCGACATAAATGGAACACAAGCTGAAAAGTGCACAAATTAACATGGACAGGTACATGCCTAGAATTACTGTGATAGACAAGAATAGGAACGCACGGATTTGAGAACATACTCAAGTTGGTGTCTAATTCACATGCTTTAACTACCCAGGATTATAACCACGGTTGTTAAATGCAGTGAGCTGATGTCCTGTCTGGTTTTCTTAAACACATGCATGAACACTACATATTATGCATATTTTTAAAAACACATGCTTTTATTAGGCAGAGTTCAGCACGTGTTCATGCTACAATCATGTTTCCCGATGAAGTCCTTTCATTCAATTCCAATAATTTCATAGGAATTTCAAAAGTCCATTCTGAAAACATGTTTTGATCCTGGAATAGAATGGAATTAAAAAATACCCACAACAAAACATAACGATTTTATTTTAAACCATAACTAAAGGTTTTTATGTATTGTTCCCCATACCTGTTGCAGACGCACATATCCACTCAAGCGTATAAATACATACACATGGATGTCAGTATATAAGTGGGTACATGTACGTTCTTAAGTGTCCCACCTGATCAAACAGTTCATGTTGAGCCAGGTAACCCACTGTTGGTTGGGACTCCTGTGAAAAAAATAATATTATTCAATGCTATCTTTCAGCAGTTACTTTCACAACACTTGTTAATTTTGCAGATTAACTCATATGGGATCTGGGAATAGTGCACCACCTATCAACACCACCGATACGAGGAGTTCCACTGTATTTAACGGTTTACTGCATCATGTTTGCAAAACAGAGTAGCAGGTACACAGGCAAACGGGCTCAAGAAGGTAACAGTTACTATGGCGCATTGCTGGGGTGATGAGGTGATATTAAAGTGCCAATAAACCAATGACAAGGGAGTTTAGGGAAGATCATGGATTAGTGCCAGATATGCCAATAACAGCAACTGTTCATGGAAGTAAGGTCAAACATATATAATGTATTCGTACAGGCATAACATAATTTGTGATGTAACGATTATGATATGAACATGGTTATAAAGAACAATGCAATAAACATAAAGGATAATGGTTATAAATGACGTATGCTTTCGAGAAGCGAATCGTGATGAATGAAAGGAGATGGAGATGTTCATGACTGACGGTGGTGTAAATACTGGAGATTCAAACTTGATTTGGAGCTTTCGTGGCTGCAGGAATTACTCTTTGGTTCTTTCGGTAAAGTCACGTAGAAAGAAAAAATAAATGAAATAATATCATACGACGTTTCGATTGCAACACAAGCAATCATCATCAGGTACAAATGAAAGAGAAAAGAAACCTAGTACACTTAGAAATATAATGCAATGCAACACAGAGTCGGCTAACATAACAGTCAACACCCTACCTGGTTGATTACATTCTTCCAAAGATTGCTAAATTTGAGAGAAAGACAAAACACAGACACGGAGACACATAAGCAGAGAGAGATAGCACAGAGAGAGACACACATAGGCACACAGAGAAACAACGCCTCTGTGTCGAGGCCTTAAATAGAGGGGGCAGAGAGAGAGAGGGGGGGTAGAGAAATTAGCATGTCAATGAGAGATTTGGAGCTTTAGTGACTGCATGAAATACTAGAGCGACAACACGAGGACACACAGAGAGAGAGAGAAAACACACTTAATCAAACAAACTTAGTAAAATTTGGAAATGTAATGAGTCGGTCAACACACAATTAACGCATAGCCTGGTTGATTACGTTCTTCCAAAGATTGCAAAATTAGAAGTTAAGTGTGAAATTTTGAGAGAGAGACAAGACACAGACACGGAGACACAAAGACCGACACACAAGCAGAGAGAGACAACACAGACAGAGAGAGAAAGAAACCAAACTGCAGGAAATACTAGAGAGACAACAGAGACACACAGAGAGAGAGAAAACACACTTAATACTGGAGATTCCTAATGGTCGCAAATCATGTGCATTTTTACCGCATTAATGATGTACTTCTCCACAAACTCCTGCAGCGTCATGAGAGTCTGAGTCCAATGAGCGTCTGTGTAGCGCGAGCCAAGCTCCACTGGAACAGTTCGGCAACCGGCCATGCGCACTAGGTAACCCAAGCTGCACACACATCAATAAACAAAGAACCCCATTTCGTCCAACAGAATGCAGGAAAAAGTGTCATTACATGTATAGCCCCTTTATCAATCCACTGCTGGATGAGGGCCTCTCCATGCCGTGCAGGCTAGGGGGGTTATTTGGCCATACCTTACCCTGATTGTTTGTGTGGTGTGTGAAGATGGAGAGGATAAACAATGGAACAGACAGACAGTACAACAACTTATTTTCAGGACCACACTCTACTAAATACAAAGTTAGAATGGCTCGTGATGGGGATCATGGAGCCAAATTATTCAGCATAAAGACCAACAATACTCCACCTAGGTCAGTCCTGAGAGTGTCCGTCAATGGAGCATTCACCATAGATGCAAAGGTAATGTCACCATAGCATTAAGGTAATGATAGGGATTACAAATATATTCGGCTTCATCTTGGTGACAAGGGTTTGATTCACCGCAAATAGAGGGGGGATTAAAAAGTTCACAGAATGCAGTATCAACATGTAATGTACACTCTTGGGTTTCTGGCTTATTTTAAACCAACACCTTGGCTTATTATTTGCTAATATCCTTTGTTTACATGTTTTTTTCTGCTGTTAAAGGTACATTGAAAGGGGCCATCAAGTAATTATGTATTTAAATAAAACAGAGCATTGAGTAATAAAATGTTTGTGTAGTGAGGGTGCTACCACAAATTCGTAAACAAATGGTGGTTGTGTAAGCTCATGGTCCCCCTCATTATCCCGGAATAGGCACATTAATTGATATGATAACAGCACTCACTCAACAGTCAGAGCCAAGCTACAAAATGTGAGAAAGGTAGGTGAGCAGTAACCTCCACTTGGTGAGAGCAGGCCAGTGGGAGACTGTGTCCTGCAGAAGTACGGGCTCAGCGGGCAGCAAGTGCAGTCGACGGAATGTGTCAATGGATGGGCACATGAGCTGCGGTACAGCCCGCTCAGGGGAGAGGCGGCACACCTAGACAAAGACACCCCGTGTAGCCTTAACAGACTGTTGGGGCAAGTGCTGTCAGCAAGCACCTATGAAGACCGGCACAGGACACGAGGGAGGGCTAGCCAGCAACACGCCCGGCCGCCTTCATCTCCCAAGTGGCGATGTTTACACACTGCACCAGGTACTAATTTGAGGCCGAGTTGACCTAGGGGAGGCCTAGGACCGGTACAGATAATCGTCACTGGTGTTGGTCGTGTTGGCCGTGAGCGGGAATCGAACTCTGGTCGCCAGGTTCACACACACAAAGACAAATACCTCCCATTACCATTTGATATTTCTGATGTGGTCAGATTTCAAACGTAGCCTGTCTCGGCAGTTTCACAGTGCTCCAATGATAACACTACTGGTGCCAATATTCATGCATCTGCACAATATTCGATAGGGTTTTAAAACTTAAAGCCACACTAAAGTATGGTGAAAATACATGTCCACAAAAGGACACATCTCCCCATAAAACATAATTCACACATCTTTCAAAACCAGGGTGGTAACGTTCCCTAGGTGCACGTACCAAGTTTGGTGCACATGCAGGCCACAAGAGAATAGATTCTCGTGTATCATGCGGCAGAGTCAGGTGCTAGGGTGTGTGCGCTAAACTGAACACAAGTTACCACAAGTAGTGGTAACCCCTAACCGTCGTAGTTTGCGGTGTTTAAATTACTTGTCCCCTGAGCAGTCTGGCCTTTGACGCTTGTATATTTGGAGTTTGCATGTTTTCCCCGTGGATTTTTCTCCGGGTCCTCCAGTTTTTGGATCCACATTTAGAAATATGGCTGATATACATTTCCACATAATAATCCACTTCGTTGAGCTATCATTTGTGGCCAGGTCGCTTCTGAAAAGAGCTGTATAGCTCAGTGTGCCCTTACCTGGTCAAATAAAATTAGTTTTAAAATTTGACAGCAGTCAATACTTTAAACGCACATGACCAAGTGTGGCTACCTTTGCATCAGGGTGCTTGAGGTCACATGGCGCATCGTCTAACCGGTCATGGGACCTCTTAAGTCCAGTGAGACGTTTTTGCAGCACAGCAACCAGTCGCATGAGGATGTTATCGAGAATCGCCACTCCCATGATCAGACCAAGGTCACACAACCGCACAGCCTCCTGGGAAGATAAACAAATGGAGCATGCGAAAAATGGCATTATGATCTGATAAGTTATCCTGTGAGCCTCGTTCACCGTTAAGGCCATTCCCCGACTGTCCTGTCCCTCCTATTTGGTCCCACCCCGTCACCACATTCATTATTTGGTGATGCCGCATTGGTTGTAGCGGAAAGCGCAATAACAATGAAAAAACTCAACACGTTCGTCAACGTGTTTGGCTAATTTCGCTGACCTGCTGTCTCTCCTCCTATGTTGGCTCCACCAGTTCCTTTCTCGACCCTGCTTCTTCCCCACATTGGCCCCACCGCTTGATCTGCACCGTTTTACGATCTGCGCCAGGGTTTTCTGGCCTTTGTTGAAGGTTATATAATAGGTCCTCCACATGATAATTGTTTTTTTACCCTTCTATCTGGCAACAAAACTGACACCTTTTTTTACAAGGAGTCATGTTTGCATAGACCACAATACCTGCAGTCATAATGTAAACAAAAAACATAACTCTGATAATGTATGCACTGTCCTTGAAGTTGATTGGTCCACACCCGAGACAGCTTTCCTTAGAGCCTAGTCTCACATGGGTTGGACCAGATGACGCCAAAAGGCGCACAACTCAAAGACAATGCAGGTATTGTGGTGGTCTATGCAAACATGACTCCTTGTAAAAAAGGTGTCAGTTTTGTTGCCAGATAGAAGGGTAAAAAACCAATTATCATATTTTTTACTGGCAAATGAGGTTCCAATGGTGTAAATGCTTACCCCGAGCTCTCATACTCTGATGGTGCATTGTCTTTGAGTTGTGCGCCTTTTGGCGTCATCTGGTCCAACCCATGTGAGACTAGCTCTAAGGAAAGCTGTCTCGGGTGTGGACCAATCACCTTCAAGGACAGTGCACATTATCAGAGTTATGTTTTTTTGTTTGCATTATGACTGCAGGTATTGTGGTCTATGCAAACATAACTCCTTGTAAAAAAAGGTGTCAGTTTTGTTGCCAGATAGAAGGGTAAAAAAAACTATTATCATATTTTTTACTGGCAAATGAGGTTCCAATGGTGTAAATGCTTACCCCGAGCTCTCATACTCTGATGGTGCATTGTCTTTGAGTTGTGTGCCTTTTGGCATCATCTGGTCCAACCCATGTGAGACTACGCTCTAAAGAAAGCTGTCTCGGGTGTGGACCAATCATCTTCAAGGACAGTGCACATTATCAGAGTTATGTTTTTTGTTTGCATTATGACTGCAGGTATTGTGGTCTATGCAAACATGACTCCATGTAAAAAAGGTGTCAGTTTTGTTGCCAGATAGAAGGGTAAAAAACCAATAATCATATTTTTTACTGGCAAATGAGGTTCCAAAGGTCCTCCACAGTTTATCTTTAATACCCCAGGTTACTGGACTATTTTTGTCAAAATGAGGTCTCACTGGATCCTGAACAGTGTACAACAAAAAATACTCAAGATAATGCTGTAAAGGTGTGATAACCTTACAGAAATATGAAGCCTTTTATACGATTATATAGATGATACATGTATGCTGGACATGAGCAACTTCATACCTACCCTGAGGTTCTCTTCTTCCCCAGCCTTGACCTCCCACAGAGCCGCTACGAGGGCGCTCAGTGCATAGAACCGTCGCCACTCCACACTCACGTCGCGCCAGCACGCAGAGTTGAGGCCCTCCCACGCCACGTCCAGTGCTGCCTTTGACATTTCTGGAGCAGGAAACACATTGACAGGGCCTTGGTGCTTCCTCACCCTGTCCCCTCCATCACTCACCATTGTCTCCTCACCCCTCACCCTGCTTCCTCAGCCAGTCTCCTTCATCACTCACCCATGTCTCCTCACCCCTAACCCTGTCCCCTCCATCACTCACCCTTGTCTCCTCACCCCTAACCCTACTTCATCGCCCCTCAACCTGTCCCATCCATCACTCACCCTTGTCTCCTCACCCTGCTTCATCACCCTGTCCCCTCCATCACTCACCCTTGTCTCCTCACCCTGCTTCATCACCCTGTCCCCTCCATCACTCACCATTGTCTCCTCACCCTGTCCCTTCCATCACTCACCCTTGTCTCCTCACCCTACTTCCTCACCCTGTCCCCTCCATCACTCACCATTGTCTCCTCACCCTGCCCCTTCCATCACTCACCCTTGTCTCCTCACCCCTAACCTTATTTCCCCACCCTGTTCCCTCACCAGGTCTCCTCACCCCGTCCCCTCACCCCGTCTCACTGCTCACCCCGCGCCGTGTCTCCGCGCTGCGCCTCCACGGCTTCCCTCAGGAGCGCAGCCGCCGCGGCGGGGACCTCGCTCGGGCAGAAGCTCAGCGCGAGTGTCGCGGCGCCGCGCGGCAGCAGCGCCGCCACGTCGGGCGGCAGCCCCGCCGCGAGCATTCCTCTCCTCGCTGTTGACGCCTTCTTTCTCCCCTTCCCCAGTGAAGCTCTCCCTTCCCCAGTGAGAGCGCTCCCTTCCCCAGTGAGATCGCTCCCCTTCCCCAGTGAAGCTCTCCCTTCCCCAGTCAAGCTCTCCCTTCCCCAGTCAAGCTCTCCCTTCCCCAGTGAAGCTCTCCCTTCCCCAGTGAAGCTCTCCCTTCCCCAGTGAAGCTCTCCCTTCCCCAGTGAAGCTCTCCCTTCCCCAGTCAAGCTCTCCCTTTCCCAGTCAAGCTCTCCCTTCCCCAGTGAAGCTCTCCCTTCCCCAGTGAAGCTCTCCCTTCCCCAGTGAAGCTCTCCCTTCCCCAGTCAAGCTCTCCCTTTCCCAGTCAAGCTCTCCCTTCCCCAGTCAAGCTCTCCCTTCCCCAGTCAAGCTCTCCCTTTCCCAGTGAAGCGCTCCCTTCCCCAGTGAAGCTCTCCCTTTCCCAGTCAAGCTCTCCCTTCCCCAGTGAAGCTCTCCCTTTCCCAGTCAAGCTCTCCCTTCCCCAGTCAAGCTCTCCCTTCCCCAGTGAAGCGCTCCCTTCCCCAGTGAAGCTCTCCCTTTCCCAGTCAAGCTCTCCCTTCCCCAGTCAAGCTCTCCCTTCCCCAGTGAAGCTCTCCCTTCCCCAGTCAAGCTCTCCCTTTCCCAGTCAAGCTCTCCCTTCCCCAGTGAAGCTCTCCCTTCCCCAGTGAAGCTCTCCCTTCCCCAGTGAAGCTCTCCCTTCCCCAGTCAAGCTCTCCCTTTCCCAGTCAAGCTCTCCCTTCCCCAGTCAAGCTCTCCCTTCCCCAGTGAAGCTCTCCCTTTCCCAGTGAAGCGCTCCCTTCCCCAGTGAAGCTCTCCCTTTCCCAGTCAAGCTCTCCCTTCCCCAGTGAAGCTCTCCCTTTCCCAGTCAAGCTCTCCCTTCCCCAGTCAAGCTCTCCCTTCCCCAGTGAAGCGCTCCCTTCCCCAGTGAAGCTCTCCCTTTCCCAGTCAAGCTCTCCCTTCCCCAGTCAAGCTCTCCCTTCCCCAGTGAAGCTCTCCCTTCCCCAGTCAAGCTCTCCCTTTCCCAGTCAAGCTCTCCCTTCCCCAGTGAAGCTCTCCCTTCCCCAGTGAAGCTCTCCCTTCCCCAGTGAAGCTCTCCCTTCCCCAGTCAAGCTCTCCCTTTCCCAGTCAAGCTCTCCCTTCCCCAGTCAAGCTCTCCCTTCCCCAGTGAAGCTCTCCCTTTCCCAGTCAAGCTCTCCCTTCCCCAGTGAAGCTCTCCCTTTCCCAGTCAAGCTCTCCCTTCCCCAGTCAAGCTCTCCCTTCCCCAGTGAAGCTCTCCCTTCCCCAGTCAAGCTCTCCCTTCCCCAGTGAAGCGCTCCCTTCCCCAGTCAAGCTCTCCCTTCCCCAGTGAGAGCTCCCTTCCCCAGTGAAGCTCTCCCTTCCCCAGTGAAGCGCTCCCTTCCCCACTACCCGCCCCCCCGAGGCGCCCGCCGCGCGCTGTCTCCGTGTGCGCGCTTGTGGCGCACGCTACTCCGCCGCAATAAAGTTTCAACTCGCCTCGGGTCACGTGACAGCAGAGAGGCTTGCCCATTGGCTCCACCAGGCGAGGGGGCTTTGCCCCCCCCCCGCCCCGTTGTCAATAAAGTTGCAGCGGGGAGAGGTCCACGGGGTTCGGGGGTTGCCCGCCACGTGACCACGACCAGCCAATGGCGGCAACGCGCAGGCGGTTTCTCCGCCCCGCCCGACGCGGTCAGCCAATAGGCAGGCGGCGATCGTGACGATTATCCCACGTGACGCGGCGATCCGACCAATGGTCGATAAAGTTACTCGCGGTACGAGCTCGTGACTGATTGGTCCCGCGCGACTCGGCGCTCAACCAATCAGCGCGCAGCCTCTGGGAAAGGCGGCGCGTTTGATAAAGTTGCCTGCTCTGGCGAAGGGCCATTGCCCGAAACGTCGCCAATTATGTTTTCGTTTTTACATTTCGTGGCACAGTGTTGCCGACCAGCGTGTTGACATTCTTTTATTGCCGCCTGTGCACCACGGCCACGCCAGGATCACGACACTTGAGCGGGTTGCGGGTTGCCCCTCGGCGATGAGGACGCGGGGTCTGCTCCACTCCGCCACCACCACCACCGGGCCCCCCTCCTCGTAGCCCCCCTCCTCGTAGCCCCCCTCCTCGTAGCCCCCCTCCTCGTAGCCCCCCTCCTCGTAGCCCCCCTCCTCGTAGCCCCCCCCCCTCGTAGCCCCCCTCCTCGTAGCCCCCCCAGGTACCTCCTCCTCCTCCCGCTGCCCTCCCCAGGGCCGGCAGGGCGCAGCATGCGGACCCGACGGCAGCCACCGACAGCCGGCGAGGAGACCTGCAGAGGCACGCGAGCACGGGACGACGGAGAGGAGGAGGCGGAGGCGGCGGCGGCGGCGGGAGGAGGAGGAGGGGGGGAGGTGGACGGGGCGCAGACCCCGCAGAGGCGCCAGCAGGGCGCCAGGCTGAGTCGGCAGCGGCTCGGGAGGATGGCGAGGGGTGAGGCCGGGGAAGAGCTCAGGATCGGTGACATGTAACCAAACGCTGGGATACGCGTGCGTTGCTCTACAGTAGAATAACGTGGGTGTACGTTTATAACAGGTGGTTGGATGTTAAAGCGGTTTTAAATGGCGTGAAAGACGCGTAGCTACAAAATACAACGTCCCATTAAAACGCCTGGACGCCAATTTCTGTAACAAAGGTGTGCCTTGTCATAATACACTCTTATCGTGAATGCACTTGTCGGTTATCATGAAATAGCGTGCGTTCGAGTCTGTTATTACTTTGTGAGATGAAACGTTGGAGTAAATCAGGTTAAATTAAGAGGCTGTTATTGTTAGTGGGTTGGTGAAGGTGAGAGGGCTGTGGTTGATGATGGTGATGAGGGAACGGCGTGAAAGGGAGAGAGAGGACAGGCAGAGTACAGAGCTGGGCTCCACAAATCTAGACGTTTCCCACCAAAGCTGCCTTGTGTGTGCGCCTCCAATTCGTCCGGCTGGCTACGAACGACGCGAACGACGTTCGTGGTCGCGCGTTGCTTCTGTTTGAAAGCGGCGCGCGGCGTGAGCGTCACGCACGTGGACTCACTCACTCACTCACTGTCTGTCTGTCGTCGTTGTGTGTTAGCCTCAAATCTTGTAACTCTGTTTTCACCCACTTCCCAATGTGGTATCGACTGCAAACTTGGCATACTGATGTCATACTGATGACAATACTATATTCTATCATTAAAAAAATATATATTGATAAACATTTATGTATGTTATGTTTCGGCTCGGCTCTAATTGTCCACGCTCAACTCGCGTTGGCTGTGATTGCCCACGGCCCCTGACGTCGTGGCGAGCCTCGGGGCCACTTCCTGGAGTCGTGGAGTTCTGCCATTTACTAGTGCGTGAAATTTAAATGAAAGCGTGTTAAAACGTTTTTATACAACTTATTTTTAAAGCCTCTACTGGATTAAAGGAATGTCTCATACTTGTAATGTTTTTTTCTATTTTCATTTGCGTATGTATGTTGCAATGATTTCGTACAAACAATCAGAGGTACAGTATTTGTACAGTTTTGTTTGATATATTTTCCAAAGTTAGCCGAGATGTAACGGCGTATTTGTATCACATTTTAATAAATAGAAAGTTGATTTCTACACAATATGATGTAACGCGCGTATTGTGACCCTTGACTAAACAATAGAATTCGTGTCCGATATCGAATACGGACGAGAAGTGGTCCTTAATGAGCCGAAGTTTACCGACCCCTGGACTCGACGACGTTTTGCATTTTAATGGTTGTCGTCATGACCGCACTCCAATCTGGCTGGAATGGTTGAGTGTGAGAATTCAAGCGAGTGTATGTGCATGCTTCCTCGTCAATGTGTTCAGATCCTGTAATGTTACTTTTCGCAGCGAACATAATGAGCTGCGACGCACACGGCAGCGCCGTTCTCGAGTCCGGGCTGGCCGCTCACACCTCTGCGTGCGGCGAGTCTGAACACGACATCTCCTGGAACCCTCTCTCGCCCTCGCAGGGACCCACAGGTGACGAGAACGCATCAAGGAACACGACTGTACGGCACATGGCATATTTGTTGCTGTTTCTTTTACGTTTGATTTTTAATATGTATTTCAGAAATGTATTTAACATATCCTCAATTATTGACAATGTATTGTTAAATCGATATATTAGCATTAAATCAATTTCTAAGCATTACATATTACGTTTGTTTGTTGCACATTGAAATAGCTGATAAACCATATGTCCTCATTCTTACAAAAAAACCTCCACTCTCATTAAATACTCTCGCTCAAGTGTGTGCGTCCTAGACTCAATCATCGAGCTGGCTAGAAAACATCTGCACCCTTGTCCTGAGCTATCACTTTATTAAAACATCTCTTAACTACCTCTTACCTCGCGGTCTGCACAATGTCCCCCTGCACCTACCAATCCTTTGGGGCCGTCCATAAATGACATCACGCACCTGGGGGGGGGGGGGGGTCAGACATTTGTGGCGATGAGTGGCGATGGGGGGGGGTTGAGAAATGTAACGTCACATCAAAATGCGCAACTTTAATAAATAAATATAGACAATACGTTCTACTTAATTAAATAGACTTTTGAATAAATGTTTTCTCCTACAACATCAGAGTGCAGCGCCACACTAAATACGCACTACAATGACAATAGTTTAAAGCGATTTGAAGCATGTTTTATATTTTTTTTTGGGGGGGGGGGGCAGAACTTTGTGACGTCATATTTGAGGGGGGGGGTCTGACTTTGACGCCGTGTGACGATGGGTGGGGGGGGGGGTCAAAAATCGTCCAAAATCGCGTCACGTCATTTATGGACGGCCTCTTTGCACTCTGTTGCTGATGAACCCAGGCGCGATATAGTTTGCGCAGCCTTGCTTGAACTGTCCTCCCTTTCTGTGGCCTGACTCAACTCCTGTATCTTTACATACCAGCCTGTTCACTTAATTCACAAGATGCAGGACTATTACAGCTCTCTCTGATCAATATTATGATTCACGTAAACCTTTCAAATTTGGCTTCCATTCATTGCTGAATTACTGTGATCGTTACTCAGAATATTACGTAAACTAGCTGGATATGTGTTAAAGTAAGAGCGAAATGCTAGGTGTTTGCTTGATGCTTTGTGTAATTTCAAATGGGCTTGATGGTGCCAGGAAAAAGTGCCATTTAGTTTAAACACTCTTTTAGATGAGATTATTTTCCCATCTATTTGCTTTAAAGCCATCTGGAAAAATAAATAATAAACTCGTGAGGTTGATTCCATCATGCAGTACAATTAAATTGGTACGATTTGTGTTATGGTTGGACTCTTTGTCTCATGCTTCCACGTTCTGTGTGTGCCGCAGCCGAGCGGCGGGGAGCCTGGCTAACGAAAACAAACGTGGCTGACATCATCAAGAAGCTCAAGCCTGTGGTAGGTGCACATTCGCATGAGGTGCTCCACAGGTTTGTTGCAGTGTGCCACTCTTGTGTTGCGGGACATGCAGACCTCATCATTTCACACTCATGCACCCCTTATCAAAATAGGACATCGAACAGTGTTTGAAAATCTTTTTTTATGTAATGCCTTTGCATGCACACAGGCATACAGATAAAGGTACAGGAATCCCCCCGCTACAAATTGCATCATTATGCGTTGTTTCGCATATACGTTGCTGGTGAATGAGGGAACATTTCCTTACAAGTAGAATGCTTTGCATATTTGAAAAAAATGCGTGTGTAGCACGTGGAGGGCTCTCACCCCGCTACATAAAGTCCGGAAAATAGTCGAGAAGAGAGGCAGATTCCCCACTAGTGAACATTCCAGTGGTTCCAGCTTCATCGTCAGATGAAAAGCATTTGATCCTACCCCTTCATCTCTTCAACCATCTCTGGTAAGTGTAATTTAATTATTTGTATTTATTTTGAGTTAAAATGTATGTATGTTAATTTATAATCGTATGCTTTTTGTACAGTTAATGATATTTAGTCACGCATTGTTTCGTCCAGGAATATCGGCTAGGAACGCAAATCATTATTTTAACATTATATCTGTGAGAAATTAGAGTTCGCTTTAAGTAATTTAGAGTTAAGTAGTATTTCCCAGGAACGCATCCCTTACGTATAATGGGGGATTCCTGTATAATGCGTCACTCCAATGGCAATTCTATGAATTAAAGGGTGTCCTAGAACATTTGATAACCCACAATCTAATTCTCCAGAAATGTGGCTTGTTGCGAGTAGGTGAATTAACCCTTTCACAATCCAAGACGTCTGCAAGGTGCAAGGTGGGTCCCATTCACCGCTGAATCTCTGAACGCGCAAGCGGTTAGCGTTAATTGTCGATTTAAAGCTTTCGTGACTGCAGGGATTCATCTTCTTGTTTCTTTCGGTAAAGTCACGTAGAAGGGAAGTAATAAAATAATAAAAATAAAACATAATAAAACAATTCTCACGACGTTTCGGCTACAACGCAAGCAGCCGTCTTCAGGTGAAGAATGAGACACTACCAAACTAGGAGCTTATATATAAGCTGCATTGGGGGTTGAAGAGCGCCTTAACAAAAAGAATGTGCATGTGAAGAGGAATTTAGCATATTCATGGAAAATGCGTAGGCGTTGGGCGGGGGGGTGTCAAAGTCATATTATGCCCATGCATTATGCAGGATCAGCAGCAACCAAGGGGGGTGCAGGGATTAGCAGTAACAAAGGAAAGGAATGTTAATGATATGTAGCTGCAGTTACTCAACAACCACGTAGAAAACTAAAGTATAAACTACATAAAAAACTAAAGTATAAACTGCATCGCACCATCAGTATACTTACTATACTCTATAATAAGCTGAGTTACTAACAGCAAGTAATACATTACAATTCTACCTCGTAAAAATTCTATAATATGCTTCCATCTAAACCTTATTCTCTTATATCACACGAGCATATACCGTACTATATACTGTCATAGATAAACCCAACATTAAATTATATACTGTATTGCTGTAAACCAACCTATATCTTATACATTTAATATAACACTATGTATTATTCTACACACCCTAATGTGTATCGAAATGGTTTATTACGTCCTTCCAATGATTGCTGAGCCAGAATCCATCTTCTCGGTTAAAATTGTCTCTGTGTTTGTATATGTGGATCGCCTCATGAACGAATCTCTCATGATAGCCAGATGGCTTGCAGAGAACCTCTGTCTTGGAGAAGTCGATATCATGTGAGCCCACTGAGTTGTAACAGTGATCTGCCACGGCTGAGGTGTTTGTCCTACCGTGTTTCAGGTCAGCTTTATGTTCACGGATGCGGTCCGAGACATGTCGTTTGGTTTCCCCAATGTAACTGCTACCACAGAGGCAACTTAGTTTGTAGACGCCAGGGTACTGTATGTCTGGAACCACATCTTTTACAGACGGTACCAGATCACGGATTTTATGTACTGTGTTGAATCGGACCTGGATCTTGTGTTTAATCAGGATTTTGGAGATCTTTTTTGTGACCCCAGCAATGTAGGGTAAGGTGATGGTCTTGAAAGGCTCCTCAACAGGATCCTTCTTGATGGTTGGAGTGATGGCTTTGCGGATTGTATAGTCGGAGTAACCATTTGCCTTAAGAGCTTGGCGTACGTGTTTGAGTTCACTGGAAATGTGTTCATGGTCGGAGATGCATTGGGCTCTATGATATAGAGTCTTGATGAGGGAATTCTTCTGGGATGGATGGTGGTGGGAATCCGGTTTTAGATAAGCATCCGTGTGGGTGGCTTTCCTGTAGACAGAGTGGCTCATTGAACCATCAGGTCTCCTTTTGATTAGGACATCCAAAAAGGGTAGCTTGCCATCATTTTCGACTTCCATGGTGAATCTGATGGCTGGGTGTATGGAATTGATGTGGTCGAGAAATTGGTCTAGAGCAGGCCGGCCATGTGGCCAGATGACAAAAGTGTCGTCTACGTACCTCTTCCATAAGGTCGGGCGTAGAGTGGCAGTCTGGATAGCGTCCGTCTCAAATTTCTCCATGAAGATGTTGGCTACAACCGGAGATAGGGGGGAGCCCATTGGGGTGCCCTCAATTTGCTTGTAGAAGGTTCCATTCCAGGTGAAGTATGTATTGGTTAAGCAGTGTTTCACCAGGGGGGGTACCCCAGCATTCAGTCCTTGATGAACCAAGTCTTCAATGATTGCGATGGTGTCAGGCACAGGTACCTTGGTGAACAAGGAAACCACATCAAAACTGACAAGCAGGTCGTCTGGGGACAGGGCAATCCCCTTGATTGTCGATACCAGGTCAGTAGAGTTTAGTACTGCAGAGGTGGTTTTTCCAGTGAAAGGCCGTAGGATTTCGGACAAAAAACGAGCCAGTTTGTAAGTGGGGGAGTTGATAGTAGAGACAATGGGACGAAGAGGTGTATCTTCTTTATGTATCTTTGGCAAGCCGTACAATCTTGGTGGTCTGGCTGCAGAAGGTTTCAACGAGAACTGTTTGGTCTGATCAATTAATGCGGTTGAAGCAGAAATGATGTTGTTGGTTTTGGAGACGAGGCTGTTGGTGGGGTCTCTTTTTATTTTTGTATAGCTGCCATCGTTTAATAGTTCTTGAATTTTGTTGTTGTATTCTATTTTGTCCATGATGACAGTGGCATTGCCTTTGTCGGCTGAGAGGATGACAATGTCATCCCTCTTTTTTAATTGAGCTAATTCAAAACGCTCCTCTTTGCTGATGTTGCTAGCTGGCATCTTAGCGTTTTTGAGGGTTACAGAGATTTCAGATCTTGCTACGTCTGCAGCGATGTGACTCAAGCCCTTGAGAGCTACATCTACTCGAGCAATTATATCATTAACTGGTATGTGTCTAGGTGTGACTGCAAAGTTTAGTCCTTTAGCTAAAACGGATTTCAAACCTTCAGAAATAGGACTGTTACTGCGATTAATTACGACTTTGTTAATATCTAGCTTTTCAATGTGTGGGTCCGGTTTCTTGTTTGAGAGGCGATTGAATTTGGAAATCAAGTTGTCCTTACATTTAGTCGACATAGCGGCAGCTGAAGAGGCAGTCATTTTTTCCACATGTTCCCAATCCGATGTGGACATTGTTACACTCAAAGATAAGTGTGATTTGTAGAGTGTCTTGTCTAACTGATCTAGTTCGGTGCGCGTAAGTCTGATTTTCTCTGAGATAAGAGCTAAGCTAGTTCTAGACAGAATTCGTTTCGCATTAGAAGAAGTTACAGCAGCAGATGTTAGTGTAAATGCGTTTGGTATTACCTTAGAGTCGCGGCATCTCTTCAGAAAGGTGAGAGACTCGATTAGCTGAGCCTTCTTATCCCGGAGCTTGTTGAAGGATCTCAAAGTTATGTGGAAACCCTCCCCGTAGAGGCGGTTAAATTTCGATTTAAAGCTTTCGTGACTGCAGGGATTCATCTTCTTGTTTCTTTCGGTAAAGTCACGTAGAAGGGAAGTAATAAAATAATAAAAATAAAACATAATAAAACAATTCTCACGACGTTTCGGCTACAACGCAAGCAGCCGTCTTCAGGTGAAGAATGAGACACTACCAAACTAGGAGCTTATATATAAGCTGCATTGGGGGTTGAAGAGCGCCTTAACAAAAAGAATGTGCATGTGAAGAGGAATTTAGCATATTCATGGAAAATGCGTAGGCGTTGGGCGGGGGGGTGTCAAAGTCATATTATGCCCATGCATTATGCAGGATCAGCAGCAACCAAGGGGGGTGCAGGGATTAGCAGTAACAAAGGAAAGGAATGTTAATGATATGTAGCTGCAGTTACTCAACAACCACGTAGAAAACTAAAGTATAAACTACATAAAAAACTAAAGTATAAACTGCATCGCACCATCAGTATACTTACTATACTCTATAATAAGCTGAGTTACTAACAGCAAGTAATACATTACAATTCTACCTCGTAAAAATTCTATAATATGCTTCCATCTAAACCTTATTCTCTTATATCACACGAGCATATACCGTACTATATACTGTCATAGATAAACCCAACATTAAATTATATACTGTATTGCTGTAAACCAACCTATATCTTATACATTTTATATAACACTATGTATTATTCTACACACCCTAATGTGTATCGAAATGGTTTATTACGTCCTTCCAATGATTGCTGAGCCAGAATCCATCTTCTCGGTTAAAATTGTCTCTGTGTTTGTATATGTGGATCGCCTCATGAACGAATCTCTCATGATAGCCAGATGGCTTGCAGAGAACCTCTGTCTTGGAGAAGTCGATATCATGTGAGCCCACTGAGTTGTAACAGTGATCTGCCACGACTGAGGTGTTTGTCCTACCGTGTTTCAGGTCAGCTTTATGTTCACGGATGCGGTCCGAGACATGTCGTTTGGTTTCCCCAATGTAACTGCTACCACAGAGGCAACTTAGTTTGTAGACGCCA